AGCTCATGTTTTGTATTCTTGAAATAATATAAATAGCAAAAAAAATTTAAGGTCAGCCTTTACCATTGTAACCGTGTATATACATGACAAATATTGAAAAGCACAATAGTTCCACTTTAAACAGGCTGGCTTACATAATGCATATCTGAACTCTTGCAATCACAAAAGACTCAGAGTTGCTTTTTCATTACAGAAAGTGAAGCTTTCTGCACGAGTGTATTCTGTCTGTTATAAAAAAGGGATAGTAAACGAACACTTTTCAGGGGTGTGTTACCAGCCCTGATGGTTTTCACCCACTCCCATTTGCAGAGGCGCCACATTAATTCAATCTACTGTAATAGTCACACATACACACACACGGGCACACTCGTCCATGCCCCCACAGGGCACTGCCTTAATTTAATCAGACAGCACAAAGACTCACACAGACTTTAGAAATTTAAACCATTCGCATAATCAAACATGTAGTAAGGCGCATACACACAGCTGAGCCCCTTCGCACGTGCACACACAGATTCATTTTAAGAGTCCTGTTGCAAACATATGTTAATAAACCTCATATGAACCAGCTCACCTCTGCCTCTTTTGTCAAAGTACAACCAAACCACAAAACAGGAGAGGAGACAAAGCACAGGCTGGGTCACAGGCAAAAATAAACACACAATCATAAAGACAGTAACCACACGTTCACTTAATGGGCACAAAAACAAACTCACACTGAAGCTAAACGTTTTTGATTTTTTCTTAATAAAACAGTGTTGTCTGGTCTATTTACTGACCAACTATAAACCATTTGAAGACACTTATTACTTCTCTCATTAAAAGTCCAAAACCAAAATCAGTCTATGTACTGCTTGACCAACCATGTGTCGCCATGAAAAATAGATGATATTGGGTATTATGGATATTTTATGATAAAACTGAAAAGATGAAGTGCTTGTCTTGAATGCTTTTGGGGTTTTCTCACTGATTGCTTATTTTCTTTCTCACATCAGATTGGTTTGTATGCCTTTCTCTGCTACAATTTGTCTCATTTTCACTTTATGTGCGATCCTGTGTTTGCATGTGTCTGTGTGCAAATGAATGTAAACGTGTGTGAGCAGGCACATGTGAAAACACCTCCCACACCCCCCTCAGAGATAGTCATTGGCTCCGTCTCTCACATTATAACACGGAACAGTGAGGCCAACTCCTGATTTAAACATCAGCTGTCATAAATGTTTCAGAGAAATGGAAGGAGATGGAGGGATTGCTGGCAGCTTTCAAGGACTGGGTGGGACAGTGGGTGATGGTGGTGGGGAGAAAGAAACAAACTTGGGTTATAAAGCATTGCAAGGGTTTTAAATTGGGAAAACTGGCACGAGTTGATCATATATCAGACTTTTTACAAACTTGGTGTCAGTGTGAATAACACAGTCATGAGGCACCCTGTGTTTTATATGACCACATCATAAACAGCAACATTTTCTAGGCGGTAATTGTAGAGTTTATGCAGTGAAGCCATGGCTTATTTCAAGGCACACTTCTCTAGCTGTAATGCACAGTGTTTCATAGTGGATGCAGGACATGTGGCCTGAAATTAAACTGGAGCTCTAACATATAATTTATAAAAATGTGAGGGCTTCATCTAATCTAACCTTCTAGAAAAAGAATGGAGGCTCTATTTCAGAAAGCCAGTGACCATGAAATTATATTTGTGCCCGCCTGTGAAAATATTTTCTTTTCAATTTTGAGTTGATTAGATGTAGTTTGGATTTTGCTTTTAGCAGACCATTGTGGGTCTGTTAAAGCTGTCAGTGGATACTTGTTTAAAGTGTCTGTCACCATCAATACATAACATTCATGGTCATTTTTCGGCACGGTACTGGACAATAACATGAAGAATCACAATGAAAGAATGCAGAATTAAAAGTATAATAAAGTATAAGGTTGAAGAAATGTTTTGTGAGTTGAAAAACTCAGTAACTAAAATAGTTTTGTCACAACAACTAAAAGACAGGCCAGTAGCCATAAATAGAACAATGCTTTGTTTGGGTTTTGAGCCTGGTTCTGCTTCCCGTTAAAAGGCGGTTTTTCCTTCCCAATGTCACAAAAGTGATTTCTAATAGTGGGTCATACGATCCTGTTCTTATTGTTCTTATCTTCAACGTTATGCTCTTCTGTTGTATGTTAGTTGCCCCTTGGGGATAAATGAAGTCTTTCTGATTCTGATTGTTGGGTTTTTCTCTAAATGTATTATTGTAGGATCTACTTTAAAATGTAAGGTGCCTTGAGGTGACTTTTGTTGTGATTTGGAATTCTATAAATACAATTTAAACTGAATTACAAATGAAGTGATCACATTTTTACAATAGTTGTACTGCTAAGCTTAATGTTTTTTTTTTAATGATCTAAGTTTGTTTTAGTTAAGTTTAAGATACTGACATATGCACACAATACACACTCAACACACACACACACACACACACACACACACATATATATATTATATATATATATATATATATATATATATATATATATATATATATATATTATATATATATATATATATATGTATGTATATATATATAGTATATAGATAGTATATATAGTATAATATATATATAGATATATATATACTATAATATATATATATATATTACATATACTATACATATAATACATATTACATATACATATACACACACACAAATGTTTGGTTTTCAACATTTTACAAAAAAAGGTCATTTCTAACTGTAGGTAATTTGTCAGGCCTGTGAAATCTGAACATATTTGTTTTACAGAGGAACACGGGTCAAGGTCATAGGAGAATACTTTTACTGCCTGGCTCTGATGTACAATCAATAAAAAAACAGATCCCAAGAGCCCAGCAGCTTATTTTACTCTCTCTTTCTATTTTTCTTCCTTCTACCTCCCTTTTCAACCCTACCTTCTTATTCTCACTTCCACTTTGATCTCAGCTGATCTCATGCTATGTTTTAAAAAGAAAATGCATGAATCTGTACCATGTTCTCCAAGGTCGTGGAAAAAGCTTCTCACGATCTCTGCTCTTTGAGGAGCTCACACCCAAAGTGGATGGCCCCACCTACTGGCTGCAGCACACAGTGCCGGCTCTAAGGCGCAGACTTCCTCACTCCAAATTCAATTAGCTAAATGGCAGGCTGAATTAGGCTAAATGCAGAGTAAGCCTGCTCAAATGAGCATAGCTGTTGAAAACTGAGGGGCTAATAATCTGCCACAATTACATCTGAGCACTCACATGAAAAAAATATCAAATTTAATCATCTTAATAATCATGCAGTTCAGGAGGAAATTCAACTGCACATTCATGGTGAAAACTGCAACTAATATCTGCTCAAGTGTAAGGTCCTAAATGTGTGTTTGTGACAGAAGAGTATATTAAAAAAAATATAATGATAATGGAAAGGTAAAGAGTGAAAAATTATTGGGGCTTTTTGTCCGTGTGTCAAAGATAGAGATTTTTGAAATGCTTCCTTAGGGCAATTTTAAAATACGCCCAGACACAGAGCAGAAGAATAAACTGCATAATCATAAAAGAAGATTAAAAAAACAGATGCAGACCCACCTGAACATATTCTGATTGGTCCTCTGCTGGCTTCATGTGGCTGAAAAGAGAATAATGAAGAAGGACAAGAGGAGAAAAGAAAGATTAAAGACATAAAATGCTCAGGATTGTAATAACAGGGGGGGAAAGCCTATAAACCTTTGATACACACAATCGTGCCTTTGTGTTTGATCTGCTCTTCTAACAGGTGCAGCACATGTTAACACACAAAAGGTCTGCCTGTATTCCCACAACAGCAGCACACTCTCCAGTGAGTAAAACACTATTGCAGCGCAGCTTCAAGGAAAATAGAGAGATAACAAATCCCACTGAGCATCTAAGGTTGCTAAATATGGAGTTGGCCTCTTAAATCTCAGAGGCACCATAACTCACGCTTTAACACTCATGATGGATCCCTATCATGTGTCAAAACTCACTGTGCTGCAGTCCTGGGAGCCTCAGTGTGGGCACTAGTGTGCAGATACGTTGCAGTGGCAAGCAAAAGGGGCAATTACACTCCCAGACAAGTTTTAAGATCACTCAGCACAGCTCCCACTTGCATGAAGGGTCTCACAGGGCCCAGAGCAAAGCTGTGTTATACATGACTACAGAGAGGTCAGATCAAAGGCCCCTATCATGGTAGTAGGCTTGGGAATGTTAATAGGTCCCACAGTAGAGGAGCGCCACAGTGCCACAGCCACAGTTGCTTCTATGCTTTTAACCCTGATTTTCTTTTTTAATATTGTATAAGTATAGAATATTTTAATGCATAACTATGCATCTGATAACACTAGCGAGAACAAATATTACCCCGGATTTACATAAAATTCAGAAGCAGT